CCCCCCCTCCCCCTTGCCAAACCTCACCAGGGAGCGCGAAAATCGACTCAAACCAACGGTGCCCGCCGTAACCATACTTGTAAGCCATCTGCACACATCCCAACTCCATCGTCACCTCCTCCATCCAAGCATCCGGGTGCGGCTGCTCATAACGGATGCCATGCCGCCCCTTATACGCGTGCCCACCGGCGCCCACGCCCTGCTCCCTCATAGCCCCTCCGAGCGTCATCCGACGCGTCGGCGAGCGGGGCGTCAGACCTTTGGGCTCCTTGTCACGTCGCCTTCCACGGGCAAGTCCACCGAGCGACATTCTGGCCCAGTTGCGGTTGTGGCCCGGTCCGCCTCGTCTCGGCAACGAGAGTCTCGCGCCGGCCCCGTTAACGCCGTCCGGTGTTGACGTACTGGTGTTGTTCATTCGGCAAGCCACAGCACAGAGCAGCCATAACCCCGGTGGGTTACGAATACAAACGTCACACGCGGAGGGAGGGAGGGACTACACGGCCGGGAGAGAACCAAGAGCAGGAATCGTTACCACATAAGGTTAGGTTGTACACGCCACGCCTGGTGCCGCCTTCCGTACGGGTCTATGTACGGCTGTCGAACACAAATAACTCTACTCGCATGTCAAATATATAGGAGTATATTTTTACTTTTACATAGCAGATACATCATGTACAACCCATGAGAACGTGACGGCGCACACAAGGGTGCGGCATGACCAGATTTGTACACCATATCCGTAAGGATCCATCAGAACATCAGAAAGCCAGTGTCATCCGAGGCAGGTTACAACATATAACGGCGAGCCACAAATGGTCCCAAAAAACACGCACAGCGTTTAGGCTAAAACTACGGCTGCTCCCGGCCGAAAACCAAAAACGCTCACTGTTGAACTGAGGGGGTGAACGAAATGTGCATCGTGCTCTTTTTCAGAAAATGTCTTTCTGGTCACATCGTCTCCAAATACAATAAAAGCAACACGCCGGCGGCCGTTACTTCTGTACACTGCTGCAAAGAAAGACTGTCTGAAGTACTGAGTACCAGGTACTTTTGGAGATGCGTACCACTGTACAGCAGGTAGAATACACCTCAACATCAAACGCCATCCTCCGTGTGCACATACTGCTGCAACAGGAATTGAACCATCCACGACGCTCAGTTGTTCCACGCGCTAAGAGATAGATGTTTGTGGTGTGTCGCGGGCCCTGGCCTGATTGCTGGGATTTGGCGGCCTACTACTGCTGTAGACGGCATGTCGGTCGGTGTCCTTGACTTGAAGCTGCTGTGCATACAGCAGCAGCAGGAGTAGAACTTGCCTCGTTTCGTCGTCCCCATCCATGTCTCAGCAAGCTCCGCAACGGAATATCCGTGTTTCGTACGCCACAGGCCGACCACACTGCTGTAGAGAAGAGAAGGTAGAGCACAAAGCAATGGCACTTCTTTACCTAGTGCTGTCAACGCACGGTACGACAAACGCACATGCGTCCAAGGTGTATCAGTCACAGGTCTCGTTGAGCTGTACCAGGTGGCATCCACTTTGAAAAATCGAGCTGGGAGTTTGATGTCAAAATGTAACATCTCGAAACGCGTAACACCGGGCTGTTCACAAGTAGGTGCCTCTGTGAATACGATCGCTGCAGAGAAAGAGATCCCGCCTACAAAGCATCTGTCTACGTACATGTCTCGCTTTCTACCCTCCCGCCCGTGTCGTTCCTGGTGTGCGGGCATGTAGACCGTCCACGGGCTTTGGAGTGGAAGGAGGGTGAGGACCCCCTTGAACTCGAACACGGGTTTTGCAATGCCGTTGTTGTACAAACACCACTCCATGCGGACGGCTACATAGGTGTGCAACAGACGGCAAGATGAACCAACAAGACATCGACTCCGTGACAAGACACCACTCGTATGAAGGAGCATGATAGTCACCAGTGGGTGGAGAAATGCAATCCGCCCCACCGCAACTCTGCTGCAAGACGTCTGTCGGTACCCGATACCCCTGCGCTCCTTCGTGCACACGGGACTCGTGAGAGTAAAATCCGTGGTACATACCAACCGAATTTCACCAGACACCACTGTCTTCGCTCTCAACAACACAGAGGCAGAGGTTGCCTCAACAGAACAAACCATCAACACTGTCAACGATTTTGCAGACATTGTCACTCCTGTGCGGCGGTTTCTCTGCATGCACAGCTTCCGTCCTCACCAAGACAGAACACGCGAACAGTGGTGGGGCGTCCGTGCGTGACGCCTCTCAATAAAGTCATCTCAAGCGATGTGTCGGCTTGTCTCACATTCAGGCACAACGCGTGAAGCACTCCTGGATCCCCAAGTCACGATATTCGCCAGTTCCACTAGCAGGAAGCCTCCTCTCCTTCCTCTTTCCTCGAGACCATGTGATACGTTCGTGGGGCTGCTGCCTGCGGGTCGCATACACACGGACGAGAACACACACACAAGACAGAATCAAATTTCCGAACGGGACTCCGCAGCCACAACTTGTTTTCAAGGGGGGGGTGAAAAAGCGGCGCGCGTCCCCGCGAACAACTTCAGCTCATCAGCTGCCGCTGCTGTCTGCATTTCACATCCCGTATGTGCCCACTCAGGAGTCTGGGTACGATCACGTGGGCAGCCTAGGGATGGCGGTGAGTGTGTGGATCAGTTGTTTCACATAATTTGCTTCTCGGTCGTTGGTCGCGAGCGCAACCACGAAGATCGAAGATCCAGACAGGATCCAGATGATGATGCAAAAGATGACACGCTTGACCAATAACGAGCCCTCCCCTCCGACACTACTCTGTACCACTGATGCGGGGGTGCGACTGCTGTATACGCGTGGCACGCAGCCCTGGTATCTGCCAACATATTTAGTAAAGATTCAAACAATTGGTTCATAGCATCACACACAGAAGGATAGCACGGGTTATGTCTGGGACGTCGAGTCATGTACTCTCGACTTGTTGCGGCGAGACTTGGGATGCGTATTTTTTTCAAGGTGTCTCTAGACATATGACCCCACAGCTGTGTCTTGGATCCAAAGCGCCGTGGATCCAAAGCGCCGCGTTTTATCATAACATGGTGTGGTCGAGCTACATAATTTTAGCATCCCTCATTACCAATGTCAGAGCTGCAAGTATGTAGATCGTGACCAACAAGAGGTGCAGCACGTCGCGCAACCAGAATCCTCGATGTATGGAGGGAAGAGTCGGCGCAGCATTTACAAGAAACGTCAGTTTTCGGTGAAGCTCACCCTAATTAGCAACTAACTTCAATTGTACCCACATTCGCAGAGAGACTGCCCGTTCGAGATAGTACCCCAGTCGAAGGGGTGTGTTGACGTTTTTATGTTGGGAGTGGCGAGAAGCTGGAGTCTGTAGATGTAAGCCTTCATTGAAGGGTCGGTGATTGATGATCCCAACCTCATACTTGAGTTTGCATTAGGGCCGAAACCAGCCAAAGCGTGAAGAATTTGATTTCTTCAAAGAGTTTTGTTATATCGGACCTGCTGGGTTCTGCTGATTTTGCACACTTGCGATCTGTAGATATCAAGGCCTTTTCTCACACTCGATTTCTCTCGCGCTGGTGTCCAGGGTGCTGTGCCTCTCCTCCCTACGAGTGAGGATAGACACCCAAACGACGAGCCATTCATACCACCGCACGACATGACACAATATAGGGACAACAGGACACCGATCACCCGGCGTCAAGCCGGGAAGCTCCATAATTGCCACAAGCCCTATGCTACCCTTCGTGTTCTTATTGTATCTTTGGGGGCATCCACCTCCTTCATCCATCTTCCAAGCCTTTTTATCCACATATATACGCGGGTTTCCTCAACGGGAATGAAGGCCATAGCTACGCACCGTTTAGCCTGTACTGCTATGTTCACCACCGTTGACATGACTGCCAAACAACCAGAGGGGCAAGCTGCTGCTCTGCTTCTTTTCTAGGCCCCGCCTGCACGACTGTCGCGGACTTGCATTGTCCCTCAGTTCACGGGGGCCGTAACGCCCCGAACGTTACCACTGACTTGTGGCAGGATCCGCGGGAGTTCTCTGACGATGGCTCGGACGACTCTGGATTTGAGGAGAGCGTGGGCTCAGCCGAACGCAACAAAGAACAGCACCTGCAGAATGATAAGTACGACTTGGCCCTGGAGGTGAGCCCAGCAAGTCAAGACCTTCGTTGTAGGTCCAATGCCAGGAACTGGAACATGCGTACGCAGAAGCATATTATAGTCGCAAACTCTTGTAGGCAATCACTCGATATGATCATGTTTGATCCCTGCTGCGGTGTCATGGAGGATTCTCTGAGTACTGGGAGCGGGTGCCCTTCCATTAAAGCCTCTGGCTGGCTGCGCACTTCATGTGAAAGGTTGCGCGGGGTCCACTACTTCAGTCCCTGCAAGGCGGATAGGTTCTGTTGTTGTTGATGCCGTTTTCGTCCTATCCACTCTGGGCGCCGGTCTACCACCTTCGGTGCATGCTTGACGCACCAGCCGGGGTCACAGGGAGGCCAAACCCTGGAGTATTTTTCTTCATCCTCCGCCTGCTGTACCCACGTTCAAACCCCGAAAAGCGTCCAGCAGTCCCTTCCCCATCTAAGTGTTTGCTCACGAACACTGCGATTTCCACCTCTTGATTGCGAATCGTTGAAATTTTCAATCCAGAGGAATTCGAAGCCGCAATCGACAGAGTCAGACGGTTGCGAGGCTACCGACTGCACCTCCGGACACAGCGATCACTTGCGAATACTCGCCTCATTTGTTGTCAATTTGGTGTTGCTCTTCAAAGGTGAGCGCAAGCGAGGCAGACGCACTTGGCGACGGGAGTCCTGGGGAGGAGAAGGGTGAACGCGCATCCGGCAGTGATTCTCCACATGCAAGGGTGAGTCTGGCCTCAGTACATAGCCGAAGCTCTCGTACTCGTTGCACGTGTACTCCCCGCTCCCAATCGTACCCGATGGCATTGCCACGTATGCTGTAGGGGATGGCCGATAGGTTCTCTGTGTGTTGTTCTGTGCTGAGGCTGGTGCTTTCAGTGGCGTTTCGATATGCATTATTCGAAACGTGCAAATAGGAAAGTCAAATTGTGGTTTAGTTTTACGATGGCGCGTACACTATCTCACGAACGCACCCTAAGCCCGACGAATCTATCACGGCCTCACACCGGAGTCGAGTTGAAGAGAGCACCGCGGCAAGGAGTGATGTAAGAATATGCGGAAACAGGCAGAGGAAAAACAGATGTTGGATGCATGTTTCGATAGACTACTTCCAAAAGGGGTTTGCACCATTTTTGGGAGTCCGGGGGGCTTCTCCTTCGATATAGAGATCCTTCTGTAGGAAGTTGACTGCAAGAGCAACCCGCGAACAACTTGTTGTTTCGCCCACATGCAGATCCCTTGAGGGCATCCGACCCTCGCGCCTAGAGTTCACCCATCTCAGCGCCTCCTTACCTACGACTCGCTCACCCAGAGGGTTAACCGGCCAGCCGTGGTGTCATATCGCCTTTGCCTCATGCTTAAAGGTTGATAAAAAAAAAAGCGTTGTCTATCTATTTTCTGGATTTTTCTGGTTGAACCCCGCATGTCGCGCGCATGTAAGTGTGTGTAGTATACAGATGATGCCGCGACGCCAACGTCAGTCCCAAACTGAGACTCGGCGGTCTGCACGGTCTGCATTGCTCTGCACCTCTGCTCTGCACCTCTGCTGACACCGCCACGACATGGCTCGACTGATGGAAACTACATGTTTCTGCTTACTGGTTGCAGCTGCTGCAGCTGTTCATACACAATGCGGACGTGTGTACCTGCTCGTTGATTGGTGTTTGACACTGACGTTACGTACATCGTCCTACAGCTCAAATAAACTCTTGAGATTCTGGGGAAGGATTTCCAAATCTGTTCTTTCTGCACCACGTCGGTTCTATTTTTATACAGAACCGCCGTTCTATGCTCAGTTGAACGAATTCGAGCAGATGCTGTAGTGGGGTATGGATCGTGGGTGCTTGCTAACTACCACTCACAGCGTTTGTCTGCACCTCACGAAGCGTGGGAGCCAAGGAGGTATCTAACCCACAATGATCGCACAGCCAAGACCCGAGCAGTACAACATCAGCAGCAGCAGTAACGGCAGAACGTGAACTCGAAAAGAGCGTAGAGTAGTGGTAGAGACCACAAGGTGTTTGTTGAAATGGAATGAAATGAGAGCGACAGATACGTGGAGACCAGCACCAGCACCAGCACCAGTTATTATTTAGAGCCAGAACGTCCCACCTCTCAGATTGATGATAGCCGCTTCACTCAGCGGTTTAGACGTTTAGACTACTTCTTCTCGTGTGGAGAGGATGCGCACGCGCGTGGGCGCGTGCCCACCTAAACACGAAACACCGGCCACTGTTGTTCTATAGAGAAGCGCGATCTCTGCACTTCTCAGTGTTGTGTTCTTTGATTTGACGGGGTTCGACCGGAACTGTTTTTCATTCTGCTGTACCTGATCAACGTGTTCTTCGCTGTTCTACGTGCTACCATGGCGGGAAGAATGTTACAGCTGCTGCAGAGAACCTGAAAACTCTCAAAGTCGAACAGCTTCCTGGAAACAGAACATGAAAGAACACCCGAACAGTCCCCACCGCTAACGATCAGCCAACGCAAATGTATAACGGCTCTTATAGATCGGCGCGACAGCAGATCGCCTGGGCCTGGGGAGTAGCACCGATGCTCCCTCCCGGGAAGCAGCCAGAGGAAGGGGATCCAGTTCTGCACAAGAAGTGAGTGATGACGGACATGTACGGGAACAAAGGAGAGCTGTTCACAGCATAGCATGCAAGCAGTTTCGGTACAACGCGTGCGGGCTGCAGTACCTCGGAAAAATCGAACAAGCATACGAAAAAAATGGGCAGAATAAAATGGTTCTGCCAGAATCGAAGCCAACCAGTTGCGAACATGTGCAACAAGAGTGCTTACGGTTCTGCCCTGAAAACAATCGCTCTTTTATTATCCGAGGAAAACATGATTCTCACGGGCGCTGCCCGAGCGCTTGCGTCCGGTGGGCGGTGCTTCTCCCTGCACGGGCGCTACCCCTCGCTTACCCCGGGCATATCAACACGCACCGTAATCTAACACCACCCACCAGTGCGTCCGACCTGAAAATATTGCGGCGTGGTTTTCGGAAACAAAGTGCAAAGTGTGTGTCTTCAAAAGATATTTTCGTCAGATGTCGTTTCGATCGTGGCTGTGGAGTTACAGCAGTCGTTGTTTTCGTCAACGGGGGACATTAGCAGTTGTCCCCTCCCAATGCAACCCAGTAGCCGTGCCGCTTTCGTTTGTTCCCGCTCATATTGACTTCAGTGCGCGGCCGGTATGCGTTTTTTCATGCTTGTGTTCTCCCAGACGGGTCAGGACGTGAAGAATGACCAGTTTGACGCGGCCTACGATCTTAGCAGCGCTGACGAAGGTTGGTGGACTAAACGACTCGCTCCTCTTCACGCTTTGACATAGAGTCGTTTAGTCGCTTCACTACCAAAGCCCTGCCTTCGAGTCATACGGCTGGCTTCATGCAGAGTTTGGACAACAGCACAAAAAAATACCGTACCTCCTGCTTCCACCACTGAAAATGTGTACCAGACGCTGCCGAGGAATGCACGTTTACTTCACGCGCAAACCGGAATATTCTAGCGATTTCTGATATTGGGATTCTTGGATTTCGGGGTCGATCTCAGAGTCAAGCGTGGATACGAGGGAGGCGGCGGATCTGGCTACGACGAAGAGACGCACGATAGGTGCTCCGCCCGCTTCGGAGCGTCGGCCCTCCCTTACGGCTAAACCGGTGAGTGATCGGCAAGTCTATCGTCAGGAGAGAAGAGACGACCGCTCGATCTTTTACTGCAGACCTGGCTATGGATTGTTCTTGTCAGACACGCTTGGACGATGAGCCCTCAAGGCCCCTGAAATACCGGGAAATTGTTCCGAAAGTACTCTCCACGAACGCACATGGAAGTTTCGTTTGTGGGTAACGACTTACGGAGGGCTCGTGGCCCATCCATAGGACGTTTACCATCTTGATTCCGACCGGGCGACCACGTGTTGTCGCGCAGTCGTCCGTGCCATCGGGGACAGTGGCATCCGCGGTGGCTGGCCTATCGTCGTCGGCCATGCACCCGGGCGGGGGTGGAAGCGATGGGGGCAGCGACGACAGCGAAAGCGGGTCTGAATCATCAAGCAACGGAGACGAGCGAAGCAACCCTATCAAGATCGATGGGTGAGCACACAGCCTTGGGCGCGTGCGTGCGTGCGAAAGTAGGCGATCGTTGCAGCTGCTCAGCAAGGGGTAACTTAAAAGCCGCGTGTTGTAACGTCCTGGGCTTCGGGTGTGAAGGACAGTTCCGCATGAAATGAATCTTAACTTCTGAGGTACGCAACACCATCCCGGAAGTATTGAGCCCACATATCGTTGAGCAGTTTAGCAGTCATCCCTCCGTAGCCGGCTCTGACTGGGGGGAAGCGTTCCTGTAACAACGGCACAAGCTGTCAACCTCATTCCCTAGCTTTGTGTAGCGCGAGACCGAATAGTCTGCCTTCTCACCACCACGGAATGAGTTCATCTGTAGACCTATGGGGGTGAAAGCCGACTCAACGACCGCGTTGCTTCGTCAATCGCAGGGCGTACGATCCCGCGGACTACGCCCACCTCAATGTGTCGGCGGAGATCAAGGACCTCTTCCAGTATATCGGGCGTTACAAGGCCCATGAGGTGGACCTCGACACCTCCCTTCGATGCTTCGTCCCTGACTTCATCCCCGCGGTGGGAGACATGGATGCATTTCTCAAAGTCCCTCGTCCGGACAAGAGCCCGGACGAACTTGGTTTCAAGGCAAGTACGGCGGGCAAAGCTCTGGGGTTGTGTCCAGTCTTCAAATTCCCTCACTTCTCGTTGCGCTCGTTGCAATGCTTGTACCACCAACCACTGTCACATACGGTTGCCGTTTACAACAAGGGCAATTGCAGCAAATGTTTTAATGTAGTTTAGTGGTTGGCTTGCTGCCCAGGTTCTTGGCGCCAATCTTGATTATCTATGACAAGGGGCCTACTGGAAGCTGCATCACTTTTTGAGTTTTTTCCTCGAGAGCATTCGTTGGCTTTGTGTGAATCAATCCCCGTCTGTTGAATGTGGTCGATCCTTGTCTCTCATGAATCAACTCTTTCAGGTTCTGGACGAGCCAGCAGCGAATCAAAGCGACGCGACCGTGCTTGAGCTGCAGCTGAAGGCGATTTCAAAGAAACAATATGGAGATGTTGCCGTCAGGTACGTGGATATCTTGTGCTAGCGTTACCCAAGAAGGAGAAACCGATACAAGAATGTGCGCCCGTCGGAGAAGGCGGAGTTGATTGGACTTCTGGAATGTAGTAGCATTTAGTGGTACGCAAGAGACGCGGCGGGCTTGTACAGAATGTGTGCAGAATCCCTCTAGAGCTGTGCTTTTCCGGGGGTACCCCGGACGTTGATTTTGTGGTGTCGTGTGTCTGCCAAATATCGTTGGGTACACTCCTATATGCTTTTTAGTGCCAAGTCAAGCTCGACGACGGCTGGAATACGTCCTATCGAAATAGCGTGCTAGTGGACAGTTGACATGGCGTCAATTAAATGGCTCGCGAGAAAATGGTCGCAGTCGGCCTGCTACTCTCCCTAAAGATGCATGGAAAACTTGACGCGCACAATAATACCTATATTATTTCCGGTGTTCGTTGATGGGCCCGAGCTTGACCAAACGCTGTCATCCGCGACGCCAGATCGATCGAAAACGCCCACAACAACCCTGCGGAGATCGACAAGTGGATTCAGAGCATCAACGACTTGCATCGCACCAAGCCACCGCCACAGGTGACGGGGCGGGTTGATTAGTTGGTTGATTATTGATTGATTGATTAATTGATTGATTGATTGATTGATGATAAATATGCTTCTGGGGTCAGAGAGCCAGGAGTTCTCTTGTTTCTGTTGGCCGATCATCTAGACCCGGCAAAATCTCTGTATGACAACCCTATTCATCGCAGTACACGACCGCTCTACCTTGGCTGTATTAATCGCCTATCTTGGGCTGACGTTTTCCCCGCAGGTGAACTACAAGAAGAACATGCCGGACATTGAGCTATTGATGGAGGCGTGGCCACCTGAGTTCGAGGAGACTGTTGGCAACGTGAATTTGCTGACCCCAGAGCTAGATATGCCCCTGGAGGACTACGCACGCATGGTGGGTGGAATATGACGAAACCCTTGCGAGTTCTCATCCAGACTGGGCACTGATGCATAATACTGAAAAACATCTATCTTGGGCTACGCGAACACCTCCCCTTTATCGAATTGGATATGAATGTTGTGGGTTGATCCAGCGTAGGAATAAGGTCACCAATCGATAGAGAGGACAGAGGGCTGGGCAGGTACGTATCAGGGCTAGAGAAATATACACCCAGCCAGGTGGCATGCCGTCGGTACGTCCGTCCTGGAAGAAAAGTAATTCGAAGAGCCTTTCTAGAGCCGGCCAAAAGCGCGAACCTTCGCAAGCGTCGGACACATCAGATGGCAGCGAAGGTTGTGGACACTTGTCAATAAATAAAGCCTTTCGATCCTGGGGTTCTCACCCGAAGCAATGCTGTTAACTTATGGTGCCAAGTTGGATTTCAATCGCATCTTAAAAACTCGTTGGATAGTCGAGTCAATACCCCCGGTGGGTGCGTACTCCAAAAGTCTTGAGAGGAAGCCCTTGACGACCAGACTGACGCATGTTCCTTCCTGCATTGCCAGGTGTGCGCGGTGATGGATATCCCGGTGTACGACAACATTATCGAGAGCCTGCACGTTCTCTTCACAACCTTCATGGAATTCAAGAGCAACGCGCACTTTATGCAACTGGGTGCTGCTGGCGGGGGTGCATCGAATTTCGACTACAAATAGATTGCCTGAGCGTCCTACCGCCGGGTCGTAACTACTTCAACGTGGACGAGGACAGTCAGCGTCTGTCTCTGATCTTTCGGCCGGAATCCGCGATCATGTCGATTACTCTTTTCCGCGTGGCTTGTGGTTGCCTTTTGGAAGCGGCCTCCTTTCGGGAGTTGGACGCGTGTCGGGCGTGGTCGTTTGTCAACCTGTTCGCACGCATTTCATTCATCAACTAGTCAACAGCCATACTCGTTTTCCTACACACTGCACACATGATTTTTCTGAGTATTTTTTATTTTTTACGATTTTTTTCGCAGTGTGCCTATATACCATTAGGGTTAGTTGGCCTTTGACTACGGAATATGTCCGCGTCAGCTGGGACGGGAAAATTTCCGGAAACGGTTGTAAATAAATATAATGTGAAAGACAGCAATGACAAAAAATTTTTCGCTCACGGGCTCAGCTACAGACCCCGGCTTCATATTCGTGGCGGTAAAGTGCTTGCTGTGCGGTACGTCAAACTCTCTGCTTTGGACACAGGCTTTTCGACCAAAGGTTCGCCTACTACACTGCTGCTTTATTTATTATGCCGGACGGCACTGACTCTGCTTCATTCGCTTTTTTGGCTGATTTTCTTCTGGACGCTTGGTTGCATGCGGCGGATTCTGTACGCTCCTCAGGAGCACAACACCGTAGTTTCGCAAGAAAACATGTGGTATTGTCTTGATGATCTCTGTCCAACGATTATTTTTGACATGGAATGTGTTGCACTGCATGCGTCCAATCAAAACGTGTGGTACATACATCAGTAATGACGAACGAATGAGTCCTCCAGTCGTTCAATCGCGTGTGGTGATGATAATGAAGACGCACCCATTCTCATCGTCTGTAAGATGCATCAAATGCTCCGGCTTTCGTCCGACGGCGCGTAGACGATGTTCCGTGTTATGCTATACATACATATCTCAGATGGTGGTTATCCTTTCTTTCAGCGTAGATGTTGCGTACATGTAGCGCCAATAACAACGAGCGAGGTTTTGGGCAACGTATTCTTCGAATCAGCAGTGTAGTAGTTGGAATGATACTCTAACGTACATTCGCGATTACTTGTTGCGGTCATCCTCCCGAAGCCGGCGAGCACGGGCGAGCATGAGCGAGCATATTGGGCCACCACGATGTCAGTTCGTGGATGATGGAAACTGTTTTTGAGAGAGGCTGCTGCGTGGTGGGGGCGAGCGCAAAAACATGACATCTACATAACAGCGGGGCCCCGCAACATGAAATAAATGGCCCTTTGCTCCGCTGTCCCCTGTCCCCTGAACCTCAACCGCTCGCTGCCGTGCCGGTCCGGCTGTCCTGTGGCCGGCTTCTGTTTCACTCTTTCGGAGCTCGTCTATCTCGTCAAGAGATAACTCGCCCCGTACTCAGCAACCATTAACGCAAAACCCCTAGCAACACAACCATACCATGAGGGAATGCATCTCCATCCACATCGGGCAAGCCGGAATCCAGACCGGTGAGGTTTCGAAAAGGTGCACGTCGGTAGATGCGTGTGTGTGGTTTTCGTTTTTGTGTCAGGCAGGATGGGTTCTCCACCCGTTGTCTTCTGATCCGCGCGCAGGGACCAAGCGCGTGACCCCGCCAACGGCAGCCGCCGAAGGGCAACAGCAAGAGGCGTCACCTAGTACGATATGCGTCCTTGTGCGTGGAACGCTGGCGTTGGGTGACCCACATGCAATGGCAAGCCGTGTCTTAGCTCCCAATTATTTTACCTCTCAGAACCGCAGGATGTAGGAGAGGCCGCCCAGCCTCCCGCAGCCCGAGCTCCTGAGACAGCATACCCCACATAGACTAATAGTTATAATGTCACGGTTCCATCATGCTGCCACCGTTAGATGCTTCATTTCCTCCTGGTCGTATCCTTTTTTTGGGGTCCAACTGCTTTTTGCCCTACATCTCGGTGATCGCTAAACGTTGAAATGGACTGCTGTGTATACAATTGTAGACTAGATGCATGTCACATTTGAACCTGATGTATGCATACAGCAGGACAGCAGTACAAGTCTACTGCTGTAGGCGTTTCTAAGAATGTCTTTCAAAATCAGAGTGCATGTTGCCGAACGCATACTACATGGTTTGCATGTATGGATACATGAATGCATCACGACTTCGTTACCTCGCACGCGTTTCAAATCACAGGGAACGCTTGCTGGGAGCTGTACTGTCTCGAGCACGGTATCCAGCCCGACGGGCAGATGCCCTCGGATAAGACCATCGGCGGCGGCGACGACGCGTTCAATACTTTCTTCTCGGAAACAGGTGAGGCGGCGCTCCGCTACGTACAGCAGTAGTACTACCCATAGCTGTGACAGCTCACCAGGCTACATAACCGCTATTGTTTTTGTTTTCTCAGCGATTTGCACAACGATCATTGCGGACTGGCTGGTGCGCTCTGTCGGAACCTAATGCGCCATCTCCTTTGAACACCCAGGTATGTAGGTCATCGCCGCTGTGTCGTAGGTGATCTAGACTTGTTTAGTATATAGCCTGGAATTGAGGCATCTGGCGGTTTCCCTACTGCCCTAGACTATGTAATACTGCCATGTGTCAATTGGTTCTTGAAGCAACGATGCTCCGTGCTTTTCAGTATGATGAACCATTAGTCGTTGCGTGTTTCATCCAGACGTGTGAATAGGTGGAGATATGTTGGTTGTGTATGTGGTTATCATGTATGTATATGTACATATACGACCGGTCGCCCCGGTGGTCTAATGGGTAGCCTCGCAGCCTGCTAAGGGCCAGGTCATGGGTTCGTGTTCCGACGCGCTGCAAAGCTCGTTGGAAGTAAACTTGATCGACTTCATAATTCGCGAGGGAAGGGATTGCTGTACCCTTTTCACGAAAAAAATATCTCAGGCAGAAACCGCAGGAGGGGGTCCAACCCCCCCCTCCTATGTGACCCCGGTTGGGTCGTCTAGCTGGTAGATGGTAGAGGATAGGGGCCAGAGGGGCAGACGACAGAGTCCAGTGATGGGAGAAAAAAAAAAGAAAGGAGCTTGGCACCGATTCAGCTGGCTTGCTGCATCAATTGCGCCTGGGTCAAAGGTGTTGTGTCACAGAAGGAGGCTGCTTGCTCAATCTTCGATCCCGTGTCTGTGGTTTTTTGTTTGTTCATATTTTGGTCGCGTTCTCTGGTCGTTCGCTTACAGCGTTTGGAGACGAAGGTCTGCGCGGTACCTTGCCGAGCATGTCAAAATAGGATCGTCCACAACAGCAATGTAGACTGGTATGCTGAAAGTATTTCCGAACACCACATCAACGGCGCATCCATTGGTTGTTGTTCGAATACCCTTGCGAGTGTTAATTGGGCTCTCATCGTGTGTATCACCGTAGCAGCACAAAAGAAAAGTTTGAAACAAGACAAGAAGAACGGAACAGCTCTCTGTGTGTAAAGTACAGCCCCACGAATCACCACACCGTGGCCCCTCGAGGGTACTATCAGATCCTTTCTGCGACACCACATGACACGGTTCAGTATATACGTCCGAAGCCGTCCGTGCGCTCACCACTTCGGCCCGTGTTGATCACCCGAGGTCTCACGCCTTTCCTCCATGTTTTTGCTGCTCCCTCCCACCTTCATGTACAACCTTGAACAGGCGCGGGAAAGCACGTGCCCCGCGCGGTTCTGGTTGACCTAGAGCCGACCGTGTGCGACGAAGTCCGCACGGGAACCTACCGCCAGCTCTACCACCCGGAGCAGATAATCTCGGGCAAGGAGGACGCGGCCAACAACTACGCCCGCGGCCACTACACGATTGGCAAGGAGATTGTGGACCTGGTGCTCGACCGCATCCGCAAGCTCGCCGACAACTGTACCGGCCTCCAAGGCTTCCTGGTGTTCCACGCTACCGGAGGGGGAACCGGATCGGGCTTCGGCTCTCTCCTCCTGGAGCGCCTCTCGGTGGACTACGGCCGCAAGTCCAAGCTGTCCTTCGCCATCACCCCGGCGCCGCAGGTAGCCACCGCGGTTGTCGAGCCCTACAACTCCGTGCTGTCCACGCACGCCCTGCTGGAGCACACGGACTGCACCTTCTGCCTGGACAACGAGGCGCTGTACGACGTGTGCCGCCGCAACCTTGACATCGAGCGCCCGACGTACACGAACCTGAACCGGCTCGTGGCCCAGGTTATCTCGTCCCTGACGGCCTCGCTTCGTTTCGACGGCGCCCTTAACGTGGACGTGACCGAGTTCCAGACCAACCTGGTGCCCTACCCTCGCATCCACTTCATGCTCACGTCGTACGCGCCCATCATCTCGGCGGAGAAGGCCTACCACGAGCAGCTGTCGGTGGCGGAGATCACCAACTCGGTGTTCGAGCCCGCCGGCATGATGACCAAGTGCGACCCCCGCCACGGCAAGTACATGGCGTGTTGCCTCATGTACCGCGGAGACGTGGTGCCCAAGGACGTGAACGCCGCGGTGGCCACCATCAAGACCAAGCGCACCATCCAGTTCGTGGACTGGTGCCCCACCGGCTTTAAGTGCGGCATTAACTACCAGCCCCCCACCGTCGTGCCAGGCGGCGACCTTGCCCGCGTGCAGCGGGCCGTGTGCATGGTGGCCAACACCACCGCCATTGCCGAGGTGCGTAAATAGGGGATGTTTCGCCTTTTTTTTTTTTAGATGTCTCGCCACGTTTTCGGGGTTTGGTACTCAAACAGGTAGATACTTGCTGTTCTTGTTTTGCAGGTGCTTTCTTGTTATACGTTGGCATTGATCGGAGCACGTTTGCGCACATTTTATCGGTGCCGTTGTTCATGGTTAGCTCCTTCGATAGGCAGTATTGTGCTATCTTCCGCTTGGAGCAACAACATGTCTTGGTTGAACTGACACCCCTCACCATTCCTTCCCCGCGCTTGTACGCTCTCAACGTGCTTCAGGCGCTGTCCCGCATCGACCACAAGTTCGACCTCATGTACGCAAAGCGTGCGTTCGTGCACTGGTATGTGGGCGAGGGTATGGAGGAGGGCGAATTCTCAGAGGCGCGCGAGGACCTCGCGGCCTTGGAGAAGGACTACGAAGAGGTCGGCGCCGAGACCGCCGAGGGCGAGGGCGAGGAAGAGGAATTCGGGGAGGAGTACTAGATTCCTGTCGCACGGACGCGAATTGAAAGAACGCGGCAATAATGCTGTAGATGGTTTGGTGATGGTCGTCCCCATTTATCAAGAAAAAAACGTCGGTTAACTCGCACGTTTTCGACGCAAGTCAACAGACGACAGTGATGATACTTGTACATGACGTATTTTCGAATCTGATTGTGTGACGCGCCACCCCTTCCCGTCTTTTGGTACCTATGCAGTGGCGGTGTTTTTGGGGGGGGGCGCAGGGTTCTGGTGTATAGTCCTTTTCGGGGGGGAGACACAAGAAATTTCGTTCGTTTGCCGTAGAAAAAAGCGATTTACAGATTTTTTCGCCGTCTTGGTGTTGGCATGGTTAACAGCGTTGCTTTTCCTCGGCTTTTTCACCCTTCTCGTCCCGCAGCAGTATGCCCTGCTCAGGGCGAACTTCGGTCGACATAAATTGTAGGTGATGGTGTTTCGGTACTTGCGGATTCACACTTCAACGGCATCCACACACACGGTGTAATAAAATGCAAGCAGGATAAAAATTGGTTTGGGCGAATTATATGTTTTTTTTTGGGAGGTGGATGGACCACGTTTCTCTTCTCCAGCGGTGTACGTTGTAGATCCCGCAGCAGAGACAGAACACCTTCTGGTCTCCGCTTGCACCCACATGCCGTCGAGAACAGCTATTCCTGTTGGTGTCAACCCCATTCATGAAGTCACCGCGCGTTGTTTGGATTCCCTCCACCCAGGCCTTGTTGTTGCGTTTGTCTTCATTGTAAAGACCTGTCTATCCGTCTCCGCTCAGAAGGTTCTAATATCCGACTTGTCCAACTGGTGCGGACGCCTTTCGTGCTCACAGGCCAACTGCCCGACAAACGGTACGTTCACACTTGCATACCAGAACCATGGTTTGGAGAAATAAAAAGGACCAAGAAAAAAATGCCCAAAACGCGATAGACGAATGTAAAGCGAAGAATAAAAGGGACGAAGCAATGCCATTCCACCACCAAAATGAGACGCACAGCTACGCCATGGACCGGAACGAATTGCTCGATGGACCCTTCGGACCTAGGTTTGCCTTAGTTTGGTCAATCTCGCCATCGCGTGCCGGTCCACCCGATTCTTTCTCCAACACGATCAGCCAACGGCACATGTTTGGGCTGGTCATGCGCTGCTTTGTCGTGTACACCACCGCCAAGCGTGTCGGGCCTCCCGCAAGATGACCTTGACTCATCTTTTCAAGCAATCCTGTCGGCAGTCTATCAAGCCGCGCCTCGGCGCCTCTCAAGGGCAGAAAGAAACACAACCGTCCGCCGGGCTTGAGAGATGAGCTCGCTAGTGCAAGGAGCGACCATATGACTTTTCCCACGAGATCTTTTGCGCTCGCTTCTGCCCTAGCGCCACCCCCCGCCTTCCACTCCGAGCCGGCTTCACTAGAGGCATTAGCGGTCGAATCGATACCGGCTGCGGGCAAGACCGAACCCGCCTCCTCATGCCGCCCAGACGTCTCTGTTGCTAGGCTGGTGGTGACGACTTTGGCCTTTATGTTGTACGGTGGATCGGTGACAATAGCGTCGTAAAACCTGAAGGAGCGACGTGGGGGCGACGAGGGCATCGTTCTAGCTGAATGGAGCGTTCGCCTACCCTAGCGGTACCTACCATAGTCTAGGCGTAGATGTGCCGATTAAGATGTGGTTTCGTCCCGAAGGGCTTCGCGCTAGGCAAGAGAGGCTCTGCGCTAGGTAAGGGCAACAGGGTCCGTACCAATTATCAACTTCATCTAAACAGTAAAATGCTTTGCTCCTTAATATGCAAACAAAACGGCGGCAGAAAGAGGCCGTTCTACAGGAAACTCGATTCCGGTCGAAGCCTTCACGCAAGTCAAAACGTAAACCAACTACCAGTACAGCACATCTTGAAAACTCGCCAATGCACCAGAACAAATGACGATGGAACGTGCCTGTGTTCGTTCGACGGAGCAAAAGACCAGTATCTTCCATGGTGGAATTCGCGGGGAGAAACACCCCTTTCCGTACATGAGCGCACAGTAGAAACACGGCTGTGCACAAAGGACGCGGATATCAAACCAATCACTCTTACGTGGGTCTCCGGACAGGAGACTCTTCGTCGCCAACGTCCGCCGCAACAAGCGTGGGTGCGGCAACGCCCAGCGCTTGGAAGTCCTGATAAAGCTGTTCTAAATCTTCGCGGTCGGCTTGGCGCACCCCCCCCCCTGCGCCCGTGTCGCCACCAACAAGTGCTCCAGCTTCCTCGCTAGCAGTAGCTGGGCCACTCACATCGCTACCCCATGTTCTCGCGCCCATGTGCGCCGCTGGCAGCAGGAGGGAGCACGATCCACAGAATGGGTCCAACACTCGACAACCCGGTCGGACCTTGCTTGGCGATAAAAGCGAGACAAGGACGAAACGCGACAGGGATTGTATGCGATTGACTTCAGTACTTTCGTACTTTCGTTTTCGGGGGACAGTCTCTACTTGTGCCGTGCGTACGTGAGGAAATGTGGATGTGGGTTCCTTTCTCCACGGGCCTGATACTGTAGCAGGTTGCGGAAGCCATCCGCTCTGCGAATCCCGAACTCGCGACCTAACTGTAGGGATGTATCGAGTTCTTGAGGTCACCAACAGAGGTTGCAATTTGAACCTCAAGGGTCGACAGGCTCTAAACAGTGCGCCAATGGCACAAGTTTAGTTGTGCCTACATGTCTCTACGGGTCGTCGAAAAGCCCACCTTTGCAAGGTTCGCCATGATCAGCGCCACCTCTGGATCGATTGCCGTGGGCCCGCGACACCTTCGGCGATTGAGCGCCAACGCGCCCAAAACGCCCCTGATTGGGCGTCTCCCGCACCCCGTCGCCATCACCGTCCCGCCCACCCCTACGGCAGCCCCAAGTTGCAACTCGCGGCAGATATAAAATGTGTTCTCTCTCCTCCTTCTCGCTGCTGCGGCTGCCTCGGCGCGTTCTCGGACATCTCGCGGTAAATTTTCGGCGGGAGGCGGACAAAGATCCTCGATGATCCGGACGCGGATATCGCTATTCACCGACTCGGTCCTTCTACAAATCAACACAGAGAAAGCAAAGTGGGTACCACACGTTTCAAAATATTTCGCACGATGGTCGTGGGCAGGCATCAAGCAGCGGAGGTTTGACGAAGTCGACGACATGCGCACAGCAGTGAGGCACAAACCCCTGGTGTTGCTACAAACTTGTCGTCAAGGGCAACATTCGAAACGTTACTGAAGGTCAGCACACCAGTGTACATCCACTTTTCATGAAATTCATATTTGCGGTTCGCGCAGCACACCTGCGTCAATTCAGCATCACTGTAGAGAAGTGGTTTCGGGAAGCTGGTGTTTGGTTCAACGTACGCGGACAAAGCTGTGCACCGTGCTAAATATTGGCTACAAATTGCCCCACGCTACAGAAATTAACTGATTTCGGCTGCATACCCTCACCTACTCGGTTTTGCGTGCCCAATAACAACACATGTTGGTAATGTTGCGCATGAAACATGAAGGGGAGATTGCATTGCTACCGCGCGAAAATCTTCCAGTCGCAACGTGTTCAGATTAGTCGGCTTGGCACGAAAAAACGAATGGGCATATTATGATTTGCAGGAGAAACACACTTCACCGGCATGCGCGCGAGGCAAAACAGAAAAAAAAACAAAAGTTTCGTGCGTACCTTGGACCCTTCAAGAACGAGGACAAAAACGTCTCCACGGGACCACCGGCGAGAGCCTGCTGTTCTTCTTTGTTGAGGTTAGACCGGCCGTAGCATGTTACCCCCAGAGACCACGAAGCGTTGCCGGCGTGCTGAAGAAAGCGACCCGACCTGAACAAGACAAGCAACAGCTTCTCGTTATCTTTGAACGTCTCGACTCTTGTCTGCTGTGATATAGCCCAAAACACCGTTTAAACAAAGCGTCAAGAACCGGCAAGGTGGACGCCATCGCCCGACACAGCAGAGAAAAGTATGGACAGCGTGTCGGGCCTCAAAACCTGGAACAAATACCCCGCATACCTTCGAAGACTAAATAAACTAAGCAGCACAAACACTTACCTCCCTGCGAGCATATGCGCTTACGTGGGGGTAGCTTGAACCGACTTGTGAATGGCTTACCGACGTATTTAGAACGCCCAGGCTATGCTAGTGCACGAGTGCACGCTTATTCAGCTGGTTACTGCTTGTCGAGTCCGAAGGCTTCAGCCCAAACGACCAGATGGCCAGATGTGGACCCAATGACAGGCGGGAACATGCCCGGTATCAGGTATATCGGGGACAACGCAAACTGCTTTATTGAAGAAGCCTTGCCGGACTGTAGCGCACATTCCGTTCAATCAACCTGTTGCTTCTCTCACTTGAATGCATCCCTGACGGCGTCCTCCCGGTTCCGACCATGCCCCCATACTTCGAAGAGCCCGTGCAGCAAAACACACCTGATATTGTACCGTGCGGCACCCGGAGAAGAGCGTTATGAGCCAAATTTGCACACCGCTCAGCAGATTAGGTAGGTGCTGACGACTCGCTGGGTAACAGCAGAGCGTAGACGTGTTGCAAACGACGTAGATACGACCTCGAATCTGACACTCTGTTCCAAGGACGAGGGTGCTGATTCTATTCCTCGCAAACGACGCCATCGCACAGGGGAGGAATGCGCGTTCCGACCACAGGATGGGCGATGACAAGATTTCCACTCTCGCATCAGCGCGTAGAACTAACAGCGGTACTGCACGGAGGCATCGACGGAAGAGACGAGGGGTGCGCACCTCGAAGCTGCCTCAGCGATTTCCGCATCGTCCATCCGCGAGTCTACCCACTGGAAAACATCGGAGCCGTCTGTTTGTCGCAGACGTACCATGTGCTGTTGTTCCGAGCGTTTCGTTTGCGTCGTCGAAGCGATGAGCTCTTGCGTTGCCAGCTCGAACTTCTCGTAGGGCCCAAAACCACTCGTGTGCCGCGATCTCCCTCTTTGCTCGGAGAGATAAACAGAACGGGGAATCATGAAGCTGTTTGGGCAACATTATCCAACATGTGATTACAAGTGTTTCTGCGGGCCAGCCCCCCCCCGCTCGCTTACAATCATGAGGGAAGTTTTCACACAATGTCGACGGACGAATGCACGAATACAGGTCTGAGAGGCACGTTTCATGTAAAGGAACACTGCGTTGACCGGTACTTCTCTCGGAAGGCACAATAATTCTTCTTGCCTGGGTTTGCAGGAGCTCACCTGAACGCAACCAATCTCAGAGATCGCGTGCTAGCAGATAGCGCGTTGCTTCTACGGAGGGTGACCAAGCACAGCACGAAGCGGGTGCCCCTCATCCTGTTGTTGTTATCGTGCGCCACGCCAACAACTAATCTACGAAGTATTGGCCGTCACAAATCAAGCACCACCTCCGTTGCCCATCAAGCAGGCCGTGTGCATACACACAACTTTTACAGACCTACGGTGTGCAGGAGCTAAACAGCAGCAGTAGTCGAGGGGATGCACGACACTGTGAGTCGTTGGTGGGCTTGCGGCCAATCAAATCACTTCTGCTTTCCTTGCTCCCTGGAAAGTGAAAAGAGGCTTTACTGTTGTACCGCAGTACACCAACACCCCCTGCCGATCTGTCGACACTTCAATCAAACGTGCACTTGCTTCCCCCAGCCAAACGTGCGCTGGGAGGTGAGCAGGTGCTACTGTTGTGTGTAACACAGCTGTTGTTGATACCGTTGTGTTTTTCCTCTGTCTGCTGATCAAGCAGTAGGAAGCTTTGTTTAGTGTGCAAGTTGCCACCATTTTCCCCCCGCTTTCGCCCGCACCCGCCGCACTCAGTGCCGCAGTTTGCCACTTGCAGTGCCAGATCTCCCCGCCGCACTCTTTCGCTCTCTCGTCAGAAGCGCGTACAGGAATGATCGGCGTTGTTATTGTCGGGGCTGGGTTATCAGGCCTAGTTAGCGCCCTCCACTTGCTCGACCGTGGAGTGCCAAGCGAAACAATTACCATCCTGGATGGGAGGGAACGGGTTGGCGGGAGGCTTGAAGCCCACCAAGGTTTGAGTGCTGAAATAGAATAACACACATATTTATCCAACGTTGTAGTGGCGTCAGTGCAGCAACAAGGCCGGCTTGTGTTCAACCCTTTGCTCCCGAAGGTCCTCTACATGTAGGTACTCTGGGTTCAGCAGCATCTCTCGTACACCACCAGGAAGAATAACGCCACTTTTCCTTCTTTCCTCCCTGCACCCTGTTGCCAAGGTGCTGACATCGGGGGCGCGTGGTGTTGGACCTCTACGCACCACCAAATGCCCGCTCTGGCGCAGAGATTTGGGGTGGCACATTTCCCGCAGTACGACGAAGGTGTCCACGTCATCGACTATGGCAGCCAAAAATTGGTTGCCAGGTAAAGAACATACTGTAGTCTACGCTTGGCGGGATGGCGAGATCCGAGACGAAGCAAAACAAGGCGACATATCTTCGTACCGACGAATCTAAAACTTGTAGAAAGGATGGGCCCGCTGGTGTTTCGGCACGGCTGTGCGGGAACAAACAAAAAAAAAGTGCTTCATATCTTCTGTATGTAGTATTACTATCATCCCCTTCGCCAAGCCTAGTCATGGTCTATAGTCGGATGTTGTTGCCCCTTCGACAACCAGGGGCTGCGATTTTCGCCCTACGCGCTCGACGTACCTGCTTCTCCACGGTACATAACTAGTCTAGCAACTGTGCTGCAACGCTCGTTGTCGCGCGCCGTCTGCAACAGAACTCGACAGCCACTGGACTCTCCCAAGGTGCGCTTCCAAGGCGGGGCGGCGGCCGTGGCGGATGCCCTGGCTAGCCACGTATGCGCCAAGGGGGTAAAGATTGTGCTAGGCTGCGTGGTGAACAAAATCTCTACGACCGATGCCGATGCGGTGCTGGTGGAGGGTGTAGAGGTGAGGGAGCTTTATTTGGGGCGCGCTTCAACCACTGAGCAAGACCTGCCTCGTTTTTTTGTGAATGCGCGCGCCGCGTGGTTGTTTCTTTGCCGGTGCTCGTTTCACGCCACAATGCAGCTCAGCTCACGCGTGCCATCAAGAAGACGTCCCTGACCACTCCCTTTGTCGAGCTCCGCCGGGTACATGATACCGAGTCGAAGTTTGCACGCGGCGTTTTCGAAAGGTATTTACCTACCCACCATGGTACAATATTCATCTTGCGGAAGTGACGAGAACATCCCGTCCGATAAGAGAGCTAATGCCTGCCACTTTCCTTTCTGGCGGGGTCACCGTCGTCGTCTCCAAAGCTGGGCGAGCCGAGAAGTTGGAGAGCCGGTGCCGTACTGCTGGCGATTCCTCCCCGCCTTATCCTGCCGCCGCTAATTTCGTGGGAGCCAAGGCTGCCGGCTGAGCTCGCCGAGGCTGCGGGGGCGACTCCAACGTGGATGGCAGACACCACCAAGGTGCAACCATATCGCGGTCTGGCCACATTTGCAGCGCTATGCTCGAAATGACATGAAGCAAGATCACAAGACGTCTTTTGAACTTTGAACACGGTAGTCGTGGCCGCGTTCCACGTCCACATGACAACTTGGTTATTGATTGATGGCATGTTTTGCTGGACGTACGCGTGTTCCACGTAAGGCCCTCCCAACTTCCGTATTTTTCTGTCACGTTGATTGCCCTAGGTCTTAGTGACGTATCCGCGTCCGTTTTGGAGGGAGCAGGGCTTAAGCGGGACCGGAATGGGCTACGCGGAGGGGCCCATCAACCAACTCTACGATTCGTGTGGTCCAGACGGCAGTGAACCCCACGCGCTTTGCGGGTTTATTTTTGGCGCCGGGGCGGACCTTCCTGGCGATGACACCCTAAGGCTGCGGGTGAGCTCGTGTTTGTTTCGACAAGGGAGCCATCGATCTGCACTCGTAGTGTGTATACTAGCGCCATGTTATCGGAGCGTGGTGGGCCACACACTTCGAGTGCGAAGCATCTCGAGGCCGCTGTATCCCATGTCGGTCCTCGTACTGATTCGGAATGTCACCATCAATCGGCCAAGCGCACCATTTGTGGTGGGCCTTCCTTGGCATCCATACGCGCCTCTTGCCACCGCCAGGTGATCGAGCAGCTCGAACGGATGTTCGGCGCTGAGGCCAGGTCTACTCTGAGCTTCTCCTCTCATCGCTGGGGGGAGCAGCCCTTGACAAGCGGAAACGGAGGTGGCACAGGCGGAGGACACGACGACATGGGAAAATCTGAGCTGAGGATACCGTTCGTGAGTTCAATCAACGCGGTTCGGACCATGGCGTATCTATCGCCTGCTTCTTCTAGATCAACACCGAGTGTTTTCTTGGATCTGCTTGCGGTATCGATCAAATGAGTGGGGTTGACGTGTCATCGGGCGTCCTTTGCCGCTGGATTATCATTGTCGTCTCTTGTGCCCTCCTGCCCGACCCCGTCGCACTGTTGACGGCCAATATCGCCACAGCATCGCCTCAACACCATGCCAATATCAATGACGTCAACAGGGCTCGGCTTCACGGGGGGGGGGTCCTCGTATTTGGTTATCCGCGGCGGAAACTGATGCGAGGCACGCGGGACTGATGGAGGGTGCTCTTGCTGCCGGAAAGAGGGTAGCGGAACAGGTGCGTCAGCACCAAGCTTCGCTCGCGGCGGGTTCAGCATGAACAGTTTTTTTGCGTGTCAATCAAGGTTAAGTGTGCGTGTGTGTGCAGCCTCTTTCCTAAGAGTATTGCAGTCCGACAAAACATCGGCGGGATAATACCTCTGTCCAGGCGCTGGTCGCTGCCACTGAATAGTGGTCCCTCTGTCACCTCCTGGAAGGAATTAGGCCGCCCCTTTGCAAACGGAAAGAGAAAGAATCCCGGTGCAATAGCATGAACACCGCGGATGGTTACATCGCAGAGGGGTACCGAAAATAGCCAAGTTATAGGATTGACGCCAGTGTTGCTGCTGTTCCACACCCTCTCTTTTTTAAGTACACCCTCGTCTTCTATGCAGATGGATGCTTCTGCTGCTTCTTAACCGTGTCTTGCTTTCCTTTTCCCCTTCCGTTTTGGCGTTTGGGCAGAGGGGGGCGGGGGATATCGCACCTCCTTTACAATGTGTCTCTTCGTTGGGAGCCCAAACAAGCAGCAGTTGTCCTCGCATGTCCGTCCGCCTCGTGCTGTCTCCCGCCTTCATGTAATCCAGTACAGAAGTGTGGATGTACCACACACCTCTCTGCCTTGATGAGGGGTCTTCGAGGTGTGCGAGCAAGCCCAAATTGCGTGACTGACCATCTTTGTCTTTGTTTTGACCAGGTAATTCTCGCAGGTACCGTTGCGCCGAAGCAAGACGGCGAAGCAGCCAAAGAGGAAGAGGCCACGTGTACGGCGTCGGGAGGAAATCCTTTCTAGGCTAACCTATCTCATGCGCCGTATTGGCCATGAAGCGAAAGACGAGCAGCACCCACGGCCTCCTCTTGGAAATCGGCTAGTCACTAGGCTGGCTGCTGCTGTTTTCCTTGGATCCAGGCTAGAAAAATTGACCACATGCATGCATAGTTTGCAGGATTTTTTTTGCTGAACGCAATGGGTGTTGAAAGCGCTACATTCGTATTCTGTAGTTCGTGCGTACACTTCGAGGAAAGAGAGCGCTGCACTCTTCTCGCGGTAACAACCGTAGGCAAGCACTGCTGGAGGGGTGGAGGGAGGGGCAACCTTCTGTTTGACCACGGATTGGAGCAGCTCGTACACGGCAGATGCTGTGGGTGGTGTAAGCGTAAAGTGACGGGTAAAAAAAAACGGAACGGAGCAGCGTCTCGATCGAACTGCCGAGAGAAGACTACGGGGGTGTCGCCAAGTTTCCGGAGATGTTTCCTCGGATGCATACGTATTTTTGCCGGTTATAGCAATGGAAATGCGATGCAGGTCGTTGAATGTTCTGGCACAGTCGCTTCACTGTTGCGTGTTGGAAGGTAGAGAGTCTACAACATTGCGGTTCCAACTGATGGCGATACCAGTGTCCCAAGCGTGGATGTTGCCGATGTTTGGCATGCGTACTCATTTGGACACCAGCTCTACGCGTACCGATGGAAAACGTGCGGTTGCACGGACGGTGGAGCCGAAATACACGGGGCAGTTAATGGTACAGCAGTGTGTGCATGTACGCAATACACCTCAAGATGCATGCCTAACACTCATCAGTGTTGGGAGGACCGTGGGGACGGTCATTATTTGTCACGTCTCCTGCGAAAACGCCCGGTCGATCTGGATTGCTTGCTTGTCGGAGATGATCGGGTCGTTTGACATGACATGGCATCACCATTTGTGCGGAGAATAATCTTCGGTGCTTGCAGTACGTCGCCGGCAACGCCCCAAGCAAGATGCCAACGATGCTTGCCGCGGTGCAGCCGGCTTCTCACCGCTGGTTCGTTATGTTAATGGTGTTGCTTACACAAAATTGCCCAAAAGACAAGGACAAATACCAAGACATGCTACCCCCTTTCACCCCGTTCATGCCTACAGTACATGCAAGAAGGGACGGTCAACCACATACTAGAGATATAACAACAAATAATCAACCCGGAAAGCCACACATGATCGTGCGGACATGACACTCATCACGTGCTACGCTACACTTGGCTCGTCGCTGTCACCGTACGCGCGGTACATCGTGCTCCAACTTGGTGGCGCAGGGCACGCTACAATCGAAACCAAGCAGTGACCCAAGTGAGTAGTCGGCTGGGTACAGGAAGGACGAACTATCTGGGCCGTCACATATCCGCGGCACGACAAAAAAAATCTCCATGGGTCACCGATCGGAGGTTGTTGTTCAATTTCATCCCGGAATGTATTTCAAGAAGGCCTAATGCTTTTCCTTCTACACCCTTGAACATCCACCGGAAAGACGCGATTGGTGCTAGACAATACCATCACCATCTTGTCTCTCGCTCAACCGACCACGCCAGGAAGCTCGCAACAGAACATGCACTTCACGCACACACCCCCCATTCTCTCTCCCGACTCGAAGCACTCCACCTGCCGGTGAATCTTCATCTTCCGAGATAAACGCTCGTCGCGCCCTCTTCCCAGAGGTCGTCGGATCCTGAAATTACCTCGATTCTGCCATGAGCCTAATTCCCCGTTCCCAACCTCGCCACGACTATCCTCGACGATAACATGCCCCCTTTGGGAGCGGGAACGTGCTGGCGTCTGCGCAGCCAGGGTCGTCAACTCCGAGGGCTTGGCAGTACGATGCAGCACCGCTCGTAATAAAGTAACGATCGACCTCAACTTTGTCGGACGTCATTATCCCAGAGGGCGGACCTAATTTCTCAACAACTCATCTCTCCCTCACTACACAAGGCTCCCACGCAGGGAGGAGCTGGACTCGAGACAAACGCAAATCCGGAACGACAGTCCACAAACCCACAACTGTTGTTACTACCCTTTCGCTCCCGCTGCCAGACCAGAAGATCGCCACAAAAGCTTAGTCCACCTTGATGGACGCGTAAATCTTCCGCGTGAACCAAAGGCACGAGTAGAACCCGATGCAACCCGTCAGGGCCCCGAGGCCCAGCGAGAGCAGCGCCATGTACCCGAAGTACAGGACGTACGTGGCCAACATGGTGGACTGGAGGTTGCTGAAGTAGATCGCCGAGTAGGCGAACACCCACGCGCCGGTTGATGCCGTGGTGAGGAATGAACGCCACCACCTGGTTGAGGTTCAGCACAAACGGCGGTCGGTTTGTTAGTGTGGTCGTGGGGTCGTTGGTTCACATCGCGATTGTTAAATGAGCCATTGGTAACCACGTGCATGCTGTAGTGTTTTCGTCGAGGGCAACGGTGAGTATATGGGGAGGCCGTGGCGCACACGTATGGCGCACACGTATGGAGCAGTGGCCTAGCCTGACGGACACCCCCGCACTCACAACGATGGCGGCAAGCGACGAAGACCTGTTCTGTACGCAGCATATTACTCTCGTATCGCACTTGGACTAGAAATCATCAGCACACACCCTGTGGCTGTCCCTACTCTGCACATGGGTCTCAAGGAGAAAGTGCCACCTACCTATTGATGTGTAGGACAGATATTGTCGAAGGCACGCACGCTCTCTCGCGTGCTGGACAGACACAAAAGTGGAAACGAGTCGAGATCGTGAGGCAGCAAGCCATTTCCAAGCCCGCAACCACGCACCGCTCCAAGATACATGCTGCACTCACCAGTGATAGTCTTCGGCGCAAAGCTGGAAGTAGCAGAACACCATGGCGATGTCGGCGCACGTCACAATCAAGATGATGAACACCAGCATGAGGAAACCGAAGACGTAGTAGTAGTTGCCCATCCACAAGGATTGCAGGATGAAGAACATCTCGATGAAAACCGCGCCGTAAGGGAGAATGCCGCCCACGGTGATGGTGAAGCAGCTCCACAGGAACCACGGCTGGTCAGGGATCTAAAAGATTCCAAGCAAGAACAAACAAAAATAAGAAGAAATAAGCCTTGGCAACGTCATGAGTTCCTACTTTTCACGGTACATCTGCACAGCAAGGCAAGGTGACACGCACGTGTTAATAGCAACATATCTTCCGGCGTGCACCGCATACAAAAGCGCGGTCGAGAAACAAAAACAGAAAGGCGCGCCTAACGATCGCACGCAATATGGCAGTAGAGCAGCAGTGGCAAGCAGGGTCCCCTCAGACCGTCAAAACTTTATACGATACGATGTTTGGTAAATTATGCCTCACAGGTGAATAGGAGAGAAGATTGTGGCATCATAGGGGACCCCGACGCTACACCCCTTGAAATCAAGGCGTGCCTTGTCGACAAGTGGTGTTCGACGACGACATGACACCGCGAATAGCCCCATAGCCCAACAGCTCTAGATACCTTGGAGCTAAGTTTGGCACTTCCAAGAACACGGCATTGGTGAAACAAATGCCCCCACCCAAAGCCTCGTGGTCGTTGTGTCTCTTCTCGAGAGATGAAACTGCTCCATCGGACATACGCCAACGTCTCTGGCCAAAATTGTGTTGCAATTAATCAACCTGGTGTACGGCTTCCCACAACCTCTGCTGCGCATGAGGTAAACATCACACCGCTGATCGCCTGGCTCGATCATCACCCACTAGACCCAACTACGAATACAGAGCGCAAGATGTCGCAGCAGGTCTCCGCTGCGGGAAACCAATCACACCGCAGCCAACATGAGCCTGGTAAAAACATACGGCAACTTGGACGAGAGAGACATCATGTGTCTGTTGTCTTGTCTTGTCTCACCTGTCGAGGGATGTTGGAGGTAACAACCGGGTAGGGCTCCACGGGCTTGCGGTAGCCGAAGTAAGCCCCCAAGAATACCATCGGCACGCTGATGCAGAACCACAAGGCGAGCACCTCGATGATCTCCACGAAGGGCACCGCCTGCAATGCCATGCCATGTCATGCATGCCATTCAACAATAGACATGCCCCACACCATCGACAGCAACAGCACAGTCCATACCGTAAATCAGGAAAAAAACAGAGACATGAAGAGGTGCGTGAAGCTTCACGGATGGATTCGGTGCTCGTCTGCAATAAATACGCCAAACAAGACACGGCGAACGGTACACGCGCACGTGATATCAGAAACAAGTCGAGGGCGAACAACTCAAGGTCATTGGTTCTTCCGTGTTGTGGGGCGGAACACAGGCACCACAAGCACGCTTCTCATCGCTCTAGACGATTCATCAGGTCACCCACCTGAGTAGAATGATATCTCTGCGACATGAGGTTGAGGGAGAGGAAGACCGTGAAGCAAAGGGACGGGAAGAGGAGTGCGGTAAGCAGCGTGCACTGCTGCCACTGTCGGCCCTTGAAAGATTTGTACAGGACGGAGCTCGAGTATCCGGCCGGCACTCCCATGAGCACGTACAGGAGGAGCATCGACACCGCCAGGCTGCCTCGGTTGGAGGGGTTCACGAACCTGCACGCAACAGGGAAAAACGCATGGTTGTTGCCAGTCGCTAATGCACACGCTCGAGAGCTTAAGAATAAAGCGTAATCACTGCACGAGATTAATGACCCTTCGAAGCACGTCCAGTCAACACAGTGCAGGACGTATCGCAGCTCCAACACGTGGCACCGAAGCTACATTAGTTGAGCTTCTTGTCTTTTCTCTCAGTGTCCCTGCCAATGTGCGAACATCAAGCTGCGCTATTGCGGTAAACTGACTGCAGGGGGTAAAAACCTCCATTAACAGCGTGGTGTTTCCAATGGCGGTCAGCAAAGGACACCTCTGCAGAACAAAGAAAATTTCACACTGCTCTGGTCACACCATTGATAGGCGAACGCGAACTCTGCGGGTCGTCAAAGGAACATGTAACCCCAACGGTAGATCTCCATTTCGAACCACTCCACGCACATACACGTACGCGAGACACTTGGCGGTCTCCAGTGGGGTCCCCTCAGACCGTCAAAACTTTTAACGATACGATGTTTGTTGAAATGTGCCTCACAGGTGAATAGGAGAGAAGATTGTGGCATCATAGGGGGCCCGAGACAAAAAAAAAGCAAACAAGAAAGACACTCTTCACTGTCCCTTCTTCAATCCCTCCAGCAAGAAACATGGAAATCGCAAAGCCTGCCACGAGGACGATGCTCGGGGGTTGAGAGGGCGAGACCATCAACAGGTAAGCACTTGGGCCACCAGCCTGTCGGGGGTGCCGCTCGATGCACGCAAGAAAGCCTGCCGTATACCAGAGGTGGGGATGTAATCGACTCACCCGATAGCCGCGAAGGCGATCGTGACGATTCCCATGCACAGCAGCTGCACCCCGGTCCCTACCAGCACGCAGAACAGCATTGGGTACTTGGCGGGCGGTCGGAAGACGTCGGCGTGGACCAGCTGTTTGTGCAGGAGAGCACCACAAGCGAAGGCGCACAGAAGGGCGCGGGGAGCCGCTTAGCCGAAGGGCCAAGCCGGGTCGAATGGTGCGCAAACAGCCGTCGCGGGGATAACTTGACGCCCAACACAATATTTCGAACAGGGTACCGATAGAGGCCACGCCTCGATGTACTCGCAACTACTTGAGAGGGCCGGGGCAAACCCCCCCCACACCCCCCCGGTGTTTGCCATCGGGGTTGGGTTTTCGTCGCTTGGCAACGACGTTGTAAAACAAGCCAATTCACTTCGTCAACTCGGCAATCAGGTTACCGTTTCTTTTTTTTACCTCTTTTTTTTTGGCGGTAACCATGATGGTGGTCGAGTAGATCATGTTGTGCGGGGTCGAAAACCCTCACTCCGCGCAAGGGGGATGATCGCACCACGTTGTGTTAAAATGGTCACGCACCCTCGAGGCAGTTACACAGTGCTTACAACTGTCTCTGGAAGTGAAAGCACCAGAAAATGAATTAAGTCATACGCAGCTGTCATCCGTACGCAAGGAAGTAAGCACAAGATGCCGAACACCCTTAGCAGGATGCAGCGCACCCTTCATGCGACTCGCCGAATACCTCACGGCGCTTCGCGCTTGGTGATGTGAGAGCCTGGTCCGGTGAGAACCCGGCGTGCTTCGTCCCGGCTTTGTAGGAATGCGAGGTCAATCGTCTAACGACTACGGCATGCACGACTATGAGTACACCCTCCCCCCCCCACCCCCAACTCTTTTCCCGGCGCGCGGGGTTTCACCGACATCGAATACGAAACTAGTATGGGAGAATAGACGTGACTCACAAGAGCATAGAAATACATGTCAACACAAGACAGGACAGCAGGCAAAACTTGTCCTCCAGCAAAACGGTTCCACTCCAAGAACAGACGCCGCAAAACGCGCCGGCACCGGCCACGTTGACGTAAGGCCCTCGACCCTCAACAAAGAAAAAAGCCCGCCCAGAGGGTGCAACACCGTACCAGGTATGTAAGCATGCATACCTTCCAGCCCGTCTCCTCGCGCTCCTCCGCCTTCTCCTCGTCAGTCGGTACTCGGTTGTACCGCATGATATCCCGGTGAAGGTTGCGGATGAGGATCATGGCGATCATGGCCGTGAGGAACAGGACGATAAGCAGGGAGTTCACGATGGAAAACCAGTGCACCTGTGACGCATTCAGTGCACAGCAGGCGCAGGTTGAGGAAAACTAAAAGGATGCGCGTGTTACCATCTACCAAAGGGCGGATGAAGCGACATGCACACGGGGCAGGGGTGGTGTAATCACGCCGGACCAAAGGGGAACGAGAAAGAAAAGCATGCATGATCGAGACATGGGACCGTCTCGTTTACACCGTCCCTGCAGCACAGCACAGCACTCCTTGTGCCGTGCCAGGCTGTATCGGTGGCCCCACCCATGTGGTCATGCAAACAACATTGCCAGTCACGGGCCGCGACCTCCAACATCACCATCATAGTAGCCGCGGTTTTTCTACCACAGCACCTCCTTTGCATCCCGCAAGCCGTAACACCACAAAGAAAACTCGCCAAAATGTCTAGGTAGCACCTACCCTGTTCTTGACGGCGTGGTTCATGGTGAGGTAGATGTCCCAGCGGCTGGCCCAGTGTGTGTCCGACTGCTTCCAGGCGACGTCGTACGTGTATATGATCCTCTGCCCCACAGCCACCTCCTGCTTCTGGGACGGGTCCTGGAGGTTTCAACACCAACCAGAGCACGGGCACAACGAATGGGGTGGGTGCACATTGCTGTAAGCAAAGCTCGTGGCGTATGCAGACGGAGAGAGCAGACTCGACGTGTCGGCGGCGACAGCATCGACGTAGATGGCCGTGGTCACCACGGGGAGTCGAGTGGGGTGTTTCGACGTCAATGGCAACAGAGAGGGGCATGGGTTTCTAGGGAACTGGTGCCAATCTGCGAAGATGAGACCACACAACCGGCAAGAGCAAGGCCAGGCAAGGGCAAGGCCAGGCCATACTCGCACCCACGACGCGAGCAAAACCAACCCAACAATTCCAGGCCTGGGTGCGAACACACCGGAGCAACCAACAGGCGCGATGCATGCCGAGTCAGTCGAAACCGAGCCACCGCATTCAACACGAAAGCTGGAATAAACGAAGCCCGACCCTCACCACCGTGGGCTTGACCGGGTTGATGAAGTTGTCCTTCTCGCAAGTGCTGAGGGGGGGCATGTCTCCAGGGGCTCCCGTCCAGTAGGCCGCCGGCGACTGGAAGGCGTGCTTCACGGAGAAAGGCTCGACCTTGAATCCCACAACCCTGGCAGAGGGCTCCTGCGCGCGCACACCGGAAACGGTCACACCTCAAGATGATCACACCCCATGAGTCCCTTGTTGCCGGTTGCGAGCCAAACGCTCATGAAGAACAAATGAGGGAAGAGGAACTTCACCACGCTGGCAAATACACCATTCAACCTTCATGACACACTTCTCATTAATGCGGCCAAAGTCTTCAAAAAGGGCCATCACAACCCGCACCCAAGCAGTCAGGAACAAATTAAACACCCCATTGGAGTCGGGCAGCGGAAGCCGCTGTCTTGAAGCTACGTACGCATGCACACAGAGGGCGTTTCGTTGTACGTAGGGTTTGTATACTACTTACCTCTCCGAGTTCCATGGGGTGGTAGTCCACGACCATGTGCACGTGGTTGTTCACGTAGTACTTGCCGTCGATCACTTCGCCCACGGGGAATCCCTGCGAGTAGTACGTCTGCGTTGCGTCCTGCTCCAGCCCGGTATGGAATCAATACCAATCGCGAGACGTCAAGAGGCGGAGGAACCCAAGAGAGTACGCGCACGCAGGTGGGGTTAAACAAAACAAAAAAAAAAACGGACAAGTTGAGAGTGGCATGGCAGCCTTAACGCGAGACGGTGTCCGAACCTGCTATTTATTGCATGTAGAGGGTAGGGCCAAAATTTCCCGCACCAAGGGGGTTGCGACATCAAAATCGGGTTAAGCAAGCCAGGGGAGCCCAGACGGGGCGATTGGGCACCCGGACGCCAACACAGCACACAACTCGAGCAAAGGCGATACGCTGCAGGTAAAAACACCCAATCGGGGCGACCTCCGAACGTGACTCGCTCGCCAATCAAGCATAGTTCAGGGACGGGATCATTTTAGATCATTGTAGATGCTGAATCATGAACTTAACGCGAAACATGAACAAGTCCTGGCGCAAGAGCGCGAGGCAAGTCAGGAAATTGAAAGGTCAACTACGAGAAACTGGCCCGCGTAGCAAGCACAGCATTGGCGCCAAGCATTGCAGGAGAGGAATTCGCTCTTGCAGCAATATCAACCAATGACAATGAAGATCCGAGACGGAAAATACATAAGCCACCAACACGACACAACGCAGTGGGGCGGAGGAAAAGAGCGACCCTGCAACTCTCTAAACAACAACACCCCATATCCCAAGCATAGGGCGACGAGTAAGAATGCAGCATGCAGCACGCACTTCACCCTCAACGGGGACGAGGGAGGCAGCGGGCAGGTTGTCGATGATCCAGTTGTGGCGGTAGTCCCTTCGGATCGCCTTCTGGAGGTTGTCTACCTGCTGCTTGTCCGCATCCTGCAGCTCCACCTATCAAAATCAATCCATGGCCACACACGGCGGCAAGGTCCGGGTCCGGACGTTGACAATAGATCAACACCGTTGGATGACAAAAACAGCAGTTCCATTCTTGGCCAAACGACTTCTGACGCCAGCATGCTTCAGGCGAAGTCCGTTGGTCAGCAGGCACACGGCGGAAGATCAGCGACTGTGCGCTTGTAGGAGAGCGAACTGTACGGGTGTGATCATGCCCAGCCCGCGACTTCGGGAGAATCATTCCAGAGATTCCGCTCACTGGAAAAATATACCATGGTACTACACAGACAACAGAACGACAGCGTCTTGGACTATGTACATCCTCGCCGAAGGCCGAAAGAGGGCTTCCAGTTCGTGCACTACTTCTATACGTTACATGTACCGTGATGTCGTCTCTTGGAGCATGCTCCCTCAGCTCCCATCACCTGACTCTGTCGCAACAAGGCAAACCGCAAACTCTTTTCTACACCGCACCAAGCAACGGACGAATCAAGGGACGAACAAACACGGACAAACCTGACACAAGGCTGTGCACGAGATGTTGTGCTGCATGTAGATGGCGTACGGGGATGTTTCGATCCGATCACCGCTCAAGAACTCGCCCAGGTTCTCCGAGGTCATCCTAGCCCCACCCTCCGGACTGCAACACGCACAACCACGAGAGACAGCACAGCATTTGTGAAAACGACAACATATGACGCGGAGGCAGCACGCATTACGCATGACAACATGATCTTCTCTTGGAGCAAGAGGACATACCAAGGCCGCATGGTGGTGCCGAAGCTGTTGGGGATGGGGAACGATTCGTGCATCGCTTTCTCCCCAAGTCGGGGGTGGAAAGAAGGCGTCAAGCTTTGCCGCTTCTGCTGTCCACACTCCATCTTCTTTCGTGCCACTGCCATCATCACCGTGTACGGCTATGCATACGTCTGCCACAAATTAGCTCGATTCGAACGACTAAAGGCGGCTGGTTTGGCTTTTGCAACTGAAGACGACCCAGCGCGTCGATCCCTCTACAGCAGAATACATGCAACGTTGGACACAAAACAAACACACAAAAGAAGGATGCCAGCAAGTTGTATATCTCCTCTGATCCTTGTGGAGTAATGTGCAAGAGAGGCTTCGTGTTCGATTCATGCCAACATGACCAACGGCTACGACGCTGTGAGTGCCGCACGTTCTTCCATGACTGCGCGCACTCTTGTCAACACGATCATATTGTGGGGCACAGCAGTTGCGTTTTTTCCACTCTTTTGGGGGTGCAGGTGTGTTTTATACAGGTTCCCCGACGGGCCTAATTCATTGCTTAGCGTTATCTGCTCAACGTACTATGCATAGTTATCATTCAGCAGCAGCGACAACAGGATAGGGGTCTTCCGTGTTACCTGAACCCCCCTCCCCACTCCCCGCACCAAAACCCTACATGTCGCACTATTCAAGGTATTTTCCTCAACAGCTAATTTTCGTTCAGCATGCATGCACGTGATGGGCATTTCCAGCAGTACAGCAGTCACAAAAGCCGCCGCACAGCAGTATATGAAAGAATGCGCGCAACGGAGGCACTAAAGAGACATACGTGTGGGCTTCGTTTGAACAACTTCCGCGGAGCCCTGTTCACTGGTAAAGCGATAACAAACAATGTATTGCGTCGGAGTACAGCAGTACACCACGCTTTTTGCGATCGCTGCAGACTTACTTCGGGCGTTAAATATTTACATATACGGACAAACGAACATGTTCCAAAACATTCAAGACGATCGCTTGCCTATGTAGGGAATGCTTCATAGTGTTGCATGTTATCTAACTGGTAAATTGACATCTGACATTCGCTGATCGGTGGTGTGTTCTGCGACCATGCGGAGAAAAGAGAAAAAGGAAAATACCCGCGAATGTTTCGGGATTTGCATCCGCGTATCGTATGATACAATGTTTCACATGGCAGCAGCGGCCAAACTTCACTTCACTTCACCCCAGCACCTCAACGCATAGCAGAGTATTGTTGCGGGTGCATATGGACACGACAGGATTCACCGCGCCATTGTGTGGAGGACGAGCGGCGGGG